TGCCATTGTATTTAACGGGACTTGAGCATCCACAGATTTTGGTATCCAGAGTGGGTCCTGGAATCAAACCCCAGCAGATACCTAGTCTCCACTTTATCTTTTTCCCAACAGATGATCATGCCTGCACAACACTGAATGTTTTGTACCATCTGCTTGACAGCATGGATTACTTGTTTAGGAAATGATTGGGGACTGGATCCATATTCCCTAACTCTATAGAAAAATCTTATGTGCTGTTAATTTTGACAGCACTGAACATCTTTTGGGAGACTAGGGGGGTGTCTGCATGGGCCAGAATACTCTGGGAGCAGCCTCGAGTATTCTGGCCCTGGGACTGCCCTGATGTCCTCCTGTTACCTGGGCACTTTTGTTGCAATACCATATGACGTGCGTTCCCCCAATGCCTCTCAGCAACCCCACTGCACGGAGTCGCTCACTCTGAGATCAGAACAAAGTGCCCAGCATTTCAAAGAGTGAGCTGGGTGCCTTATTCTGTTCACAGGGTGAGTAACTTGCTGCAGAGGTGCCACAGCCGGATGGCACAGTGGGACATGTTCCAAACGGCCACTTGGTGTTGCAGTGGACAGTGACAGATCTTCTGGAAAGATTTGGAACAAAAAGTGAGTTATTTTTTTAAAAAAAAAAGTCTTTGGGGGTATACGCCTGGTTTGTTGCTGAACTGGCTGGATGTCATCTGGGGTTTGGGCTGTACGTCATTCAGACTTGTTGCATTGTGAACAGAGGGCGGATGTTTTATTTGGCCCATGCAGACAGGGCCCAGATGTCTGCAGGTAGATAATATGTATGTATTACTGCCTGGGGACCATACATATGCATGTGTATTGTTTTTAAAAATGTCTTTAACCAGTTACTTGCTTTAAGAAATATTCTAAGGAACAGCAAGCAAAAATCTAGTGATACTACTCATATTTCATTTTAAATGAAATTCCAGGCATTTGACAATTGAGAGCATACATTTCACATATAGGACAAATGTGTTTTCAGATCTGGGATTGTAACATAGCCTTGAAGCAAACCATTTATAGTATGAAATTCAAAAAGATTTGTCATACAGTGCAAGTGGTTTACCTGTTCTAATCAGAATGAATAGCATCATGAATATATTTCTTGGCTCTGTTCTGAAAAGTCCTGAAATGAATTCAGGAAACTACAGTGCTGAAGTATCTAGTAATAACTGCATAAAAATTAAGGAAAACTTCATCCTTTTTTGTGTAGTATCACTAATAAAGAACAATGTATCTGTGTTAAAATATTAAAATAAAATTATTGTCATAGTTTGAATTCAGTGAGATTTAAATTTGTAATTTGTAATTTCTGTTTTAATTATGGTCCACAAAATTAGAGTATTTATTTCTCTGGGTATGAGCAGAGGAATATTCTAGAAAATATAAGCCCTGTTCCTTGGGGCTAAGATGCAGAAAATTGAAGTTTTCCTTATATGAAAGAGGAAACAGCTGTCTCTTCACTCTTGCCTACTTGACCTTATTATTCTTATTATGTTCTCATGTCTGCCTTTAACCTTAATTTTAATTTCCTTCTCCACTCCCCTGCTTTTCCTGGTTAAAGCTAGATGAGTTATCTGCAGGTGCTTTGGAGTGTAACAACACTCCTACATTGTAACAACAGCTCATTGAGCTATCATGATTTTCTTACCTTTCCTCCCTGGCCATGGTCACCATTTAAAAAAATTAAAAAATTGAAATGCAGAAGTTCAGAAACTAGGAAAAGGTGGTTGGGATAGGAATCTGCATTTGTTATATTGAAAAATGTCTGTTCCAGGACTATAACCATCAAAACATATTTAGGTTCTGTAACATTCTGGCAAAATGTTATGGATGGTACCCAAATGTTCTGATAAATTTTTTGTCTGAATTGATAGGGAAAATAGATATGTTCAGAAGTGGCTCGTGAAATCCACGGATTCTGTGGTTTCTCAAAT